CCTGAACAGGGAGTGAATTTTCCACGGGCGGACGAGAGGACGGAAGGACGGAAGGACGGAAGGAAGAAGAAAGGTAGGGTAGACAGACGGAGAAACAAGTGGACGCTACACACACACACACACACACACACACACACACACACACACACACACACACACACACACACACACATCAACACACACACACACACACACACACACACACACACACACACACAAAGGTAAAAAGGGAGGCCCAACGACAATACAAAAATGACACAGCGAAAGCCAAATCCGAGCCGAAGCTGTTGTACAGCCACATCAGGAGGAAAACAGCAGTCAAGAACCAGGTAATCAGGCTGAGGAAGGAAGGAAGGGAGATCACAAGAAACGACCGCGAAGTATGTGAGGAGCTCAACATAAGATTCAAAGAAGTGTTCACAGTGGAAACAGAAGGGACTCCAGAAAGACGGAGAGGCGAGGTACACCATCAAGTGTTGGACACAATACATACAACTGAGGAAGACGTGAAGAGGCCGCCAAGCGAGCTAGATACCTCAAACGCGATGGGGCTGCATAACATCTCTCCATGGGTCCTGAGAGAGGGAGCAGAGGCACTTTGTGTACCACTAACAACAATCTTCAACACATCTATCGAAACAGGGCGACTACCTGAGGTATGGAAGACAGGAAATGTAGTCCCAATTTTTAGAAAAGGAGACAGACATGAAGGATTAAACTGCAGACCACTGTCACTGACATGTATAGTATGCAAGGTCATGGAGAAGATTATTAGAAGAGTGGTGGAGCACCTAGAAAGGAATGAACTTATCAACGACAGCCAGCACGGTTTCAGGGACGGGAAATCCTGTGTCACAAACCTACTGGAGTTCTACGACAGGGTGACAGCAGTAAGACAAAAGAGAGAGAGGGGTGGGTAGATTGCATTTTCTTGGATTGTAAGAGGGCGTTAGACACAGTTCCACACAAGAGATTAGTGCAAAAGCGGGAGACCCAGGCAGGGATAATTTATTTATTTATTTATTACAATTTGAGCACACATACAGAGGTACAAAAAAAAAATACAGATAAGAGCAGCATGCCAAAGCCACTTATACTATGCATAGCATTACGGGCTGGCTTAAAATTAACTTAAGATTAACTAAGCAATGATGAAATCAGTGATAACACATTAATGTAAACAGATTACTATAAAGCACAAGTGAGTATTACAAAGACAGGTCATATGGTTGCATGCATTGTTGTACATTCAGTCGTTTGGAGAATTCTGTTAGGTAGTGTATTTAAAAAAATAGTAAAGTTAGATTGGGTTGTAGGTTTAACATTTATGTGATATAATTGTGAGAAACATTTAAGATATACAATTTATAAGGTTGAGTTATTCAGTATTTATTTGGTTTTGGGTGAGTAAGTGATCTTTGAGAAGAGACTTGAATTTATAAACAGATAGTGTTTCTTTTATATTTACAGGTAATGAATTCCAGATTTTAGGGCCTTTTATGTGCATTGAGTTTTTGCATAGTGTGAGATGGACACGAGGAACATCAAAGAGTGATCTGTGCCTTGTGTTATGGTCATGTGTTCTGTTGAGGTTGGCAAGGAGATGTTTGAGGGGAGGGTTAATATCAGAGTTAAGTGTTCTATGTATGTAATAGGTGCAGTAATAAGTATGGATGTTTTGTATGGTGAGTAGGTTTAGTGTATTGAATATTGGTGGAGTGTGCTGCCTGTAGTGAGAATTTGTTATCATTCTAACTGCAGCCTTTTGTTTGGTAATTAGTGGTCTGAGATAGTTAATTGTTGTTGAGCCCCATGCACAAATTCCATAGGTGAGATAGGGGTAAATAAGTGAGTGATATAGGGCCAGGAGGGCTGACTGTGGAGCATAGTACCGTATCTTCGATAGTATGCCTACAGTGGATCAGAGAATACCTGTCAGGAAGACAACAGCGAGTCATGGTACTTGGCGAGGTGTCAGAGTGGGCGCCTGTATCGGGTTCCACAGGGGTCAATCATAGCACCGGTGCTGTTTCTGGTATTTGTGAACGACATGCCGGAAGGAATAGACTTCGAAGTGTCCCTGTTTACAGATGATGTGATGTTGATGAAAAGAATTTAATCGGACGGGGACCAGGCAGTTACAAAGGGATCTGGACAGGCTGCAGGGCTGGTCCAGCAACTGGCTTCTGGAGTTCAACCCCACCAAGTGCAAAATCATGAAGATCGGGAACGGGCAAAGAAGACCGCAGACGGAGTACGGTCTAGGAGCCCAGATACTACAAACCTCACTCAAGGAAAAGGATCTTGGGGTGAGTATAACACTGGGTACATCTCCCGAGGCGCACATCAACCAAATAACTGCTGCAGCATTTGGGCGCCTGGCAAACCTCAGAACAGCATTCCGACATCTAAATGAGGAATCGTTCAGGACACTGTACACAGTGTACGTTAGGCCCATATTGGAGTATGCAGCACCAGTTTGGAACCCACACCTAGCCAAACACTAAGGAAACTAGAGAAAATGCAAAGGTTTGCAACAAGACTAGTCCTGGAGCTAAGGGACATGTTCTACGAGAAGAGTTTAAGGGAAATCGACCTGACTACTCTGGAAGACAGGAGAGATAGGGGGATATGATAACGACATATAAAATACTGAGAGGAATCGACAAGGTGGACAGAGACAGGATGTTCCAGAGATGGGACACAGCAACAAGGGATCACAGTTGGAAGTTGAAGACTCAGATGAATCACAGGGATGTTAGGAAGTATTTCTTTAGTCACAGAGTTGTCAGGAAGTGGAATAGTCTGGGAAGTATTGTAGTGAAGGCAGGATCCATACACAGCTTTAAGAAGAGGTATGATAAAGCTCATGGAGCAGGGAGAGAGAGGACCTAGTAGTGATTAGTGAAGAGGCGGGGCCAGGAGTTATGTATCGACCCCTGCAACCACAAATAGGTGAGTACAAATAGATGAGTACACACACACACGCGCGCGCGCGCACACACACAGATGAGTCAAAGGGATGTTAGGAAGTATTTCTTGTCACAGAGTAGTTAGGAAGTGGAATAGTCTGGCAAGCGATGTAGTGGAGGCAGAAACTATACATAGTTTTAAGACGAGGTATGATAAAGCTCATGGAGCGGGGGGAGAGAGGACCTAGTAGCGGTCGGTGAAGAGGCGGGGCCAGGAGCTGAGTCTCGATCCCTGCAACCACAATTAGGTGAGTACAATTAGGTGAGTACACACACACACACACAGTTGGAAGTTGAAGACAAATGAATCACAGGGATGTTAGGAAGTATTTCTTTAGTCACAGAGTTGTCATGAAGTGGAATAGCTTGGGAAGCGATGTAATGGAGGCAGGATCCACACATAGCTTTAAGCAGAGGTATGGTAAAGCTCATGGTGCAGGGAGAGTGCCCCAGTAGCGGCCAGTGAAGAGGCGGAGCCAGGAGCTATGACTCGACCCCTGCAACCACAACTAGGTCAGTACACACACACACACACACAGAGGGAAACCAGCTCTTTTGCTCAGGCCATTTAATTTGCAGTTGACGGGAGGTTGTGATTACTTTGATTTACGGTAATTTACTGCAAAATAATGCAATTTACCGCAATATAATGCAGTTTTCTGAGATATTCCGTGATTTAATGTAGTTTGCCATGATGCAACATGATTTACCGAACGTAACCTGATTTACTGTGATATAACATTATTTACTGATGTATCATGATTTCCAGCGATGAAGCGTGATTTACCGTGATATAACGTGATTTACAGTGTTGCATGTCTATTTACAATGTAACGTTATTTACTGTGATATAGCGTGATTTACTGTGATATGACGTGATTTATTGTGATCTAATGTGATTAGCTGTGAAATAACGTGATTTACTGTGATTCATTTTGCCTGTGGATTAAAGAATTTTATTCATATCACTGTCATCATCTGAAAACAAATTTCACTTCTCCTTTGGCTTCTGATGTCAGTGGTAGACTAATTTATATTTTGTGCGAAATTTGTAAGTTATCTCTCATCTTTCTCCATTTTTATACACATTGAAAATAAAATTCTTCATATTTTTTATATAAACTTTGGGCACTCCACCTCCACGAAAGTTTCATTATTCTTTGGTATATACACCGAGAGGTGCATTTCTCTCAGTGTATATATGCTACGAGTTTACTTTAATCCCTATTTTAGGGACTGAAATATTCTTGTCTGGTGGTGAAAAGGTTACGTGCAGCCGTTACGACCCTCGTGTAGTCAGTATGTTTTAGCCTCCATTAACCAACCAACCTTTTCCTTTTCATTTTTTGTATCCCTCTCCTCGCCGCTAAAGAAGTCTTAAATCTATTATATTTCCATCTCCTAGAAATGCCTAGAAACTCCATCAAATAAGCCACTTAATGAAGGTATAAACTAATTAACAGCCCCACAAATCCATCCTCACAAAGAACAAACTTTAACACAGCAAGTTAATTTCCACAATGAACTGTCTATTCACCAATTCTTCACTCTACGAAAGTAAAAGATTTTTTATTAAGGTTCAGGAATTTCGCTTCTTTCTGTACAAGGATCTCATAATGATCCAGGAGCTGGAGGAACTTGTGCATTGAGGTACAAGATTCCCCTGATGGTACAAGCTCTGGATTGAATAACTGAACAGGTGATCCCTCATATTACTAACGCCCGCGTCAGGGAGAATTTTCCCCTGAGGCAGAGACCTCCCACACCTCTGACGACTTGTATCTTCCCACACGTGTGTTCCCTACTTTATCTTCATTATTCCTGACTTATTTGGTGAAGCTAGAGTATCCCGGCTGAAGCTGGCTGCAAAGACTAGCATTTACCAACATGTTGACTGTCTAATCAGTCGTTTCACAACGTTACAATCTTCATTCTCAGAAACAAACATCGTTGCAATCATCATTCTCACTACCAGACATCATAACACTCATTATTCTCACTACCAAACATGATTACAATTATCATTCTCAGAAACAAGGATCGCTGGAATCATTATTCTTACTACCAAATGTCATTACAATAATCATTCTTTGTAACAAACATCCTTACACTCATCATTCTCACTACCAAACATCCTTACAATCATCATTCTCAATAATAAACATCGTTCCAAATTATCATTCTCACTACCAAACATCATCACAATCATCATCTCAATAACAACGTCATATTGTCTCTTTATAACTTAACTGTCCACTGCCGTCGTAATCTGTCTATATTCTTATAGAAATAACTGCTACGTAAAATCACTGTCAAGTAGCGTCACTTTTAAGTAGCATCACTTATTATTATTATTATTAAAGATTAGCCGGTATTCTCCCGGCCCGGGCCTTTTCCAAGTGGTGGCCCGGCCTTGGCTCCCTCTTTAGGGAGTGTCTGAGACCTAAGTCTCCCATGGGAGGAGGCACAAGTACCTCCTCATCTTTGGGACCAACTGTCCCCAGGCCTAGCCACAAGCTAGGCCTCTCTGGTCTGCCATCCCCGCCCCAAGGGGGCAAATGGGAATGATAGTCTTATGAGCTAAAGGCTCGGGCTCTGGCACCTACCCTACCCTAGAAGGGTTAGGCATGGTATCGATCAGTAGCATCACTTCTAAGTAGTGTCACCTAGGAGTTTGAGAACAATTTAAAAATAGGTCGTATACACTAATATAAATAACAGGAAATAAAATAGGCTGTACCTACCGTGGGCCAGTAGACCTACTGTAATTTTTATTTAGTTATTTCCATTATGTACACGTGAAAAAAATTACCCATGGGAAATAACTTGTATTATAATCTCACGTTGATGAAGTTTGTTTAGTTAAACGAAATAATAATACGAACAATATTAGCAATACTACTACTACTACGTCTACCACTACTATTACTACTACTACTATCACCACTGTTATTACTACTATTACTGTTACCACTGGAACAACTATTGCTGCTGCTACTTCTACTACTATTACTACTGCTAATAATAATAATTAGTCATCATCATCATTTAAATACTGCGTTAAATAAGAACTACAAGTTACCAGTGTTGAAGAATAAGTCAGAACACAGATGATGGACCGCACCATAACATAAACACAAGCTGGTGCTGAAAACTGGACCACATTTCGGTCCGTCCTGGGCCCTTACCAAGTCGCTACTTGATATTGATCCAGGACGGACCGAATCATCATCCAGGTTTCTATTCCAGCTTATTATTATTATCATTATTATATTATTATTATTAATTATTATATTATATTATTATTTTCATCGTTACAATATAATAATAATAAAAAATAATAATATCTTTATTTACTACAAGTGCATATACAAGGTATACAGGCCTAGCTGACATCAATGACATGATACTACATAGAAAGTCGCTTTCTATGCTGAGCATATCGAGCAAATTAGGTCAATTTTGTCCCAGGATGCGACCCACACCAATCGACTAACACCCAGACACCCATTTTATACTGATAGGTGAACATGGACAGCAGGTGTCTTGTGGAAACACATCCTAGTGTTTTCCAGCCGTACATGGGATTGATTATTTAGTACCTGTATTATGACAGTTTCTTTAAATATTAGAAAGAGTAGAGAGGAACACGCAGCAAGACTGCGAAGAAAAAACAATCGGATTATTATTATTAAAATCAAAAAGAAGCGCTAAGCCACAAGGGCTATACAGCGCTGCAAAAAAAAAAAAAAAAAAAAAAAAAAAATCGGAGTTGAGGTTGTGTTGGCAGTCTCCCACGAGGGTATTGTTAATGAGCCGAATCAACGAGTGTAATTTAATTAGTTTTGAGACAAAGAGAGAGCGTTGGAGGTGAGGCTGGGAGACTCACCTCTAGAGAATCTCTTCTAGAGGTAGAGGGGATGTGGGATTAGTTTATACTCGTGGGGAAGCAACATGGATGTACGGGGGGGGGGTTATGTATCTCATGTGGGATGGTGGGGGGAAGGGGATAATCGGTTGTGATGCAAGAAAGGGGAACGGGTAGCTGACAGGAAGAATTTACCCCATGGACGGTCTTTATAAAGCAGTGTGAGAGTAAAGCTTACCGGTGGGAGCTCCTCGTAGAGAGCTGGATCACTGATGTCCTGCTTCTCGTAGAAGTGATGGAGGTAGTTCTTCACGCCGAATATTGGACAAATGGGAGTGGGAGAGTCCGGGACTGTCTTCTCGCTCCGTCCTTCGGGATCCCGCTGCTCCTGCTCTTCCTCGGTGCTCCTCTCGTTCATCTCCGGGACGAGCGAGAGGCGGGGCCGTATGTGGGCGTGGGGCCGCCCACCCGTCGGCCGCACCCCACCCACATCTCTCCTTGCTGCTGTCTCGCCCTCCGTGCCGCCCCCGCCCGCTCCTGCGGCAGGGGTGGCGCCCCCGTGACGCACCAGCGGCTCCGTCTCCGCCGCTTCAGATTCACTTTCATCCATGGCGGCAGTGGGCCCAGGGCAGCGTCTGCCGCGCTGACCAGCTGCCCTGCCTGTAGGAGCAATGGAAAGAGCTTAATGTAGATAAACACACGCACACAACACAACACAACACAACACACACACACGCACATACACTCTCACACACACACCAGTGAAGAGGCGGGGCCAGGAGCTGTGAATCGACCCTTGCAACCACAACTAGGTGAATACACACACACAGACACACACGGGACACCACGAGCATAGACATACTACTGTAGCTACAAATAGGTAGTTACACAAACACTCGTAAACATATACACAGATTCTCTCTCTCTCTCCCTTCCCCCCTCTCTCTCTCCCTCCCTCCTCTTTCTTTCTCTCTAACGCGCATTAAAGTAAATTATTTAAAATTGGGTAACGTTTACGATATTGTGGACCTGCTCTGAGGGAATTTGGTATTCGCTTACTCCGACATAAAATAGCCATCGATCCCGATGCCTTCCTCTTGGCACTCCTGCTGGTGCCACCGCCGGCACCACCACTGCCACCAAGGAGGCTGTGTGCTTTCTCTCTCTCCCCAGACCCTGATGAAGTGGTACGAGTCATGATAACAATCACTCTATGAGGAACTCATGCGCAATTACAGAGAGCTGTAATGAGGTGCATTGATTTGCCAGGAGATCTGAGCGACAGGGAAGCAATGTGTAAAACGAGGTAGTTTTGAGGGAGATGTGTTTGGCGAGGTTGGACTCGCTTCCTCTGGTACAAACGATGGTACTTAGTACTGGCAAATGGTTTCAAAAGGTGAGGAAATCTAGGACAGATTTATTAGAAATGTCTAATATGAAGGTATTCTCGACCTTCGTAAGTTAGAAGTGATCAAGGTCACAAGACAGAAGTGTGTGCTCACGTGTCATTTTAAATCTGTGTAATGTTAAGCAGCGTTACACCTTCCTGGGTATGCAGTGGTTGAATATACCACCAGCATGTAAATAGGGCACAATATAAGAGTTATGGCGTTTTATTAATGAAGATGCTTCGCCCATCATGGACCTTATCAATTCATGATGTTATGAAGTCCCTGGTGAACGAAACGTCTTCATAAATCAAATACCATAACTCGCATACTGAGGCTGGTTCCGTCCTCGGTCCTTGCCCATCTTTGCTTGATATTGTGTTTAGTTTTCTGTCTCAGTCTCATTTAGCTCATTCTACTAATTCTCATGAAGCTAAAATTTTTGTTTCTTAAATTTCCCGTGGTTATGTGTATGTTTTTTTTCCTCTATGCTGCATTGTTCTTGGGTCTTGCTTTTCCAACAGTTCTCTCCCCTGTCAGAACTTACGAGTGTCGTTTATATCGTTGTTATATATTCCTGGGCCTTCTCAACCTTCTAAAGACATTCGGAATTGCTCTTGTTAACAGGCTATGAAGCTTCTTGAATTTCTGAACATTCTTGACCAAGTATGGGGTTCACGAATGAGCTGGGTACTCTGTGATGTGCTTCAGTTAGTGTATATACAATCCTAAAAGATTCTTCCTTAAAATATGAGTGACTAGCAACTAACGTGGGCAACCACTCCACACATATACAGCAGCTTCAGGAGCAAAGTTCAGCCTCAGGCTCTTACAATGAGCTCTCAGCCTCTGAGCTTTCTCATTCCTCATATCTCTCTGACTTTCTCTGTTACTTCCGAGTATTAGGTTTAAAGAGGTCAAAGGCTGGTGAGCCGATAACCGTTCATTATCATATTTTCAGACTTCTCTGTAGGCGTCAGACTTCCTCCTGTCATGGTACCATTTTGATATTCACTCCTCCTGTCATGATGCTTGCACAGTAATAGTGTTGCTCCTTTCCCAGATATGCAACTGGAGTATGTAACGACTTTGATGTCGTAACTTAAATAAAATGTTCCTGGCTCCTAAAGGCTGCTCACACTGCTGTCCAGGGGTTATAAAATTACTCTCAAAACACAGCGAATGTTGGCCCAGCATGTACTCATACAAATTAAGCATGAGTGCTAATAATTAACGTTGTATAAGAACGGACACAAAAACTCACCTATAAATATATACATATAATATATATATATATTATATAAATATATATATATATAGTAATATATTATATATTATATATATAATATATATATATATATATATAATATATATATATATATATATTATATATTAATAATATATATATAAATATATAATATATATTATTATATATATAGATATATATATATATAATATATATATATATAATATATATATATATATATATATATATATATATATATATATATATATATATATACTATATATATATATACTAAAAGATGGGTGGTAGGGGAAGTGGAATATTCAAACGGCTTCAGGAAAGAAATCAAATATTCTTCCTTGAAGTCTTTTTAATGCACTTCTCGAGGCAATGGGTCCCACAATTTCACCAAGTGAGTGTGAGACCCATATATATATATATATATATATATATATATATATATATAGTAATATATTTTATATTTTTTTAATTTTTATATATATATATATATTTATATTATATATAAATATTTTATATTAATATATAAAATATATTTATATATTTATATATTTATATAATAAAAATTATATAATAAAAATTTTTAAAAAATTATAAGGTGAGTTTTTGGGGCCGTCCTTATAAAAACGTTAATTATTAGCACTCATGTTTAATTTGTATGAGCCATGCTCCCAAAAAGGGTTTTCCCAAAGGTTGGTGGGACAGCAACCGCCCAGGGAGGTTTACTCCGTCTCCCAAAAGTGAGTTTTTTTAAAAACGAAACCCTTTGAAAATTGTTTACTGAGGGTTTGGGTTGTTGGTGCCCTTTTTTTTCTGTCTCATAAACATGAAGATTTCAGGTACGTCTTGCTATTCTACTTACCCCTTGGGGTCACATACACTTGCTTTGTACAATCTTTTATATGTATATATAAACATCCCTCTGGGTTTTCTTCTATTTTCTTTCTAGCCCTTTGGGTTTTTGTTTATTTCCCCCTTATCTCCAGGGGAAAAAATTTGGAACGAATTCTTCCTCCTTTAAGCCTTTGCGTGTTGTAAGGGGGGGCCCAAAAGGGCCAGGAGAAAGGGGGGCTGGGTTTCCCCTTCTCCCGTAAAAAATTTTACTAAATTTAAAAAAAAGAAACTTTCTTTTTTTTTCTTTTTGGGCCCCCCTTTGCCTTGGTGGGATACCCCCGGGTTTGTTGAATATATAAAATTTATTATTTTTTTATATTATAAAATATATTTATATATAGATATATATTTTTTTTTTTTTTTTTTTTTTTTTTTTTTTTTTTTTCAACAAGTGGGCCTTTCTCCCACCGAGGCAGGGTGACCCAAAAAAAAAAAAAAAAATTCCCCAAAAAAAAAATACTTTTATCATCATTTAACAATTTCACCCACTCGCCATTATCACTGTTTTTGCAGAGGTGCTCAGAATAAACAGTCTAGAAGATAAACATATAAAGATACCAAAATATCCCCCAAAAATGCCAATATCCCAAACCTCTCCCTTTTAAAATGCAGGGATTGTACTTCCCATTTCCGGACTCAAGGGCCGATATATGAAAAAAAACCCCCGGGTTTCCCCGAATTCCCCTTAAAATAAATATTACCCTGGGTAAAACTCCAACAGATCTTAAGGGCCCAAAAACCATTCCCTCTCCATTCACTCCCATCTAACCAAAACCCCCACGCACGCTTTTGGAAGGCCAAGCCCCTTAAACCCCCAAAAACCCCCTTTACCCCCCTCCCCTCCAACCCTTTTTGAGGACGGGCCCCCCCACCCCGCCTCCTTCCCCCCTAGATTTTATGCTTTCCATTATTTACTGTGATCCATTTTATAATTTTTATTATATATATTTAATTTTATATTTAATTTTAAAAATTTTTATTAATATAAAAATTATATTTTAAAATTTAATATATATATATTTATATATATTTTTTATGTTATTAATTTTATATTTTTTTTTTTATCACCTTTGGGCCCATTTTCCCCCAAAAGGGAAGGGGGGCCCCAAAAAAAAAAACTTTTACCATATTCAAATCCATTTACGTTTTTCCGAAAGGGGTTTCCTTTTTCATTTTCAGTTTTTTTTTAAATGCCAAAATTTAAAACCCCCCCTTTAGAGTGCAGGCACTGTAAATTCCCCTCTCCAGGACCCCAAACCGGCCTTTCCGGTTTCCCCGAACCCCTTTTATAAATGTTACTTTGGGTTTACCCCTCCAACAGCACGTAAAATTTTTTAAAAACCCCTTTTTCTCCATTACTCCCATCAAACACGGCCAAACCCCTGCCCCGCTGGAAGTTCAAGCCCCTCGCACACAAAACCTCCTTTACCCCCTCCCCCCAAATTTTCCCAGGCCGACCCCCTACCCGCCTTCCTTCCCTACCGGGTGACAAACTCTTGAAGGGCACTCTGTTTCGCTCCATTCTCTCTACATGTCCAAACCACCTCAAAAAACCCTTCCCCAGCCCTCTGGAAACGTTTTGGTAATCCCACACCTCTCCTAACTTCCAAACTACGAAATTCTCTCATTATTATTCACCCACACATTGCACTCAGACAAAACATCTCATGCCTCCAGCCTTCCCCTCCTCGCTGCAACATTCATACCCATCCCTTCACACCCATACAAGAGCGTTTGGTTTTTTTAAAAACTATACTCTTCATACACTCCCTCTTTTGTCAAGGACAAGTTCTTTTCTCAACGGGTATCTAAATGCACAATCACCTTTTCCCTCATCAATCTGTGATTACTTCATTTTTTCTTTTAGACCATCGATGAACGTCCACTCCAAATATCTGAAAATTTATATATATATATATATATATTTATATATATATATATATATTATATATATTATATATAGTAGGTTGGTAGACAGCAACCACCCAGGGAGGTACTACCGTCCTGCCAAGTAAGTGTAAAAACGAAAGCCGGGTAATTGTTTTACATGATGGTAGGATTGCTGGTGTCTTTTGTCGGGTCTATAAATATGCAAGATTACAGGTACGTCTTGT